ATTTAAATAAAAATACCAAAAATATTGCTCTAGAATAGATTAATCTGTTAAACATTGCATGCTTAGGATATAAGTATTTTAATTCCGAATTCCATTGGAAAAGTACCAAAAAAAATACATTAGTTTTCGTCATTAGAATTAGATCACGTTGCCGTGTGACATATAGTTCGCATGTTTGGTCGCATTGATCGCATGTCATTTTTTTGCACGTCATTGCACATAAGATAGTTTGCATTTTAATAAAGCACAAATTAACCCTAAATAGCACCTTGAGTGCCTTGCTTTGTTAATTAGAAATCATATTATGATTATGCGTATGATTTTCTATTAACAATGCAGATGCTTGCCTTGCTTTAAGGTAAGTTATCCTCCTAACTTAGCAATTTATTTACTGCTTTCTTAGGTGTTAAATTGGTGGTTTGCGTGTCACGCCCCGAACCCCATCGAGCTCGCGACATCCCTCTCCGGTCGAAATGATGCGACGTCCCAGGAACATCGCCGACCCAACCCAAACATCAGAGCCACATGCGGAAGCGAATATAAAAAAAAACCCCGGACAGAAAGATGACGACGACGGGGTAGAACACCATAAGAATCAAACAACAACAACTTCATACAGCACCAAATATACAAACATTATATTACAGACATAAATACAAACGAACATCCTCCGCCACCGTTTTAACAAAAGTTCAGGCGTTTGGTTATCTTAACTTCACTATCGGATAACCCAAGTTGAACAACTCCTAAAATACCCTAGGGAAAAACCTAAGGGTCGCCCTTCTCCAATCTGCTCCTAATTCATCTGGTTCGATCCTCCGGAAATCTCTTGGGCATCGCCTGCGAATCCTCCGGGCACCATGGCGGCTCTTCGTACTTCAAAAAGAAGAGGTGGGCTCCCTGGGTTTACGGCTGGGGGTCTGAAATTGTGGATTATACAACTATGAGACGAATCTCAATAAGTGTACAACCCCAAACCCCACGTAGGCACTCACGTACCGCCAGACAGAACACGCATCTCACACAACGATCAATCACTCTAACAATCACACACGAACCTACCTGGAACCCATCATGCACGTTCCTGCATGTTAGACCATAATACAACCAGCACATCACAGCAAGGAATCACAGACGCGCGCGTGCCTCAATTATAAGACAGAAACCACTTAGGCACGTCCCATACCGTGCCTAGCAGTTTCTACCCCATAATTAAGCATCACATCACGCGATACAAACACACTCGTACACTAACTCACACCATGCGTCACTTTCTCAAACCTCGCACCTCACGTCAATTCCCGCTCATTCACAATTCTTCCACCACTACCACGCCCGCGTAAAACGCATCAGGCCAACGGTCTTCTGACCTCGTCAGGCATCGTCACCCCGTCGGGCCGGGCATCGTCACCTCGTCAGGGACGGCATCGTCCCGCGTAAACGTACACGCCTCATGACGGAATCCTACCTTTCCCTTTCCTTAATTACCGTGCCCGCGTAAAACGCATCAGGCCAACGGTCTTCTGACCTCGTCAGGCATCGACACCCCGTCGGGCCGGGCATCGTCACCTCGTCAGGGACGGCATCGTCCCGCGTAAATGTACACGCCTCAGGACGGACCTTTTCCCCATCAATCCTACACATCCGTACCTTCATTCCACTCATACCACACGTACCACACGGCCACTCAAACACGCTATCACACACATTCTCACACCTCCCATACACATCACAAATGCACACGTTCTCGCGACACGAACACACTACTCGATCACACATACTTGGCACGCGCATCCAATGCACGATCACATCACCACGCCTCACGGCCACACACATACAGCATACAATCAAACCACAATCCACCCAAATTGCATTTCCGCACCAGCCAACTATCACAAACAATGCAATTATAAGAATAAACCCAATCAAACCGTAACAATTCCAATCAATCACACAATTAATCCCCAATTAATCCACAGCATCACAGCCCTAACTCAGCCTCCTAAACCTCGGAATTCATCGCCCAAATCAGTCCACAACAACCCAAACACCAGCCCCTAATTCGGTCCCAAAACAGCCACAAAATCGTCTAAACCGAACCCTAAACGAGCCTAGCAATACCCGAGGTCCTAGGTAGTTTTTGGGGGATACACTTACCTAATAAAAACAGGACACTCGGCCTGGACAGGGGGCTGGGGTGACCGAACAAAGAAGCAAGAAGAAAGCCGGCGTCGCCGCCGGCGACCTAGGGGGGCGAAGCCGGCCGAGCCGCCTTGGGCGGGTGGCTGGCGGGCGGTTCTCGGCCGGCTGGAGGCGGCGACGGCGACGTACAGGGCTGGGGAGGGCGGCCAGGGGTGGCTCGGCGGCAACTTGGCCGATCGGAACAGGGAAAGACGGAGAGAGAGGAGAGAGGCGGATGGTGGCCAGAAAGGAGAAGCAGCGGCGGCGAGCGGCTGGGCTGGGCGGCGACCGGCGGCGGCGAGCTGGTGGTCGGCCAGGGGGCTCACGCACAGGGGAGAGGGGAGAGAGAGACCGATCGGGAGGGAAGGGGGTAATGAGAGAGAGAAAACGTGAGAGAGAGAGAGAGAGAGAGAGAGAGAGAGAGAGAGAGAGAGAGAGAGAGAGAGAGAGAGAGAGAGAGAGTGGTCTGGCCAGAATGAGAGAGGAGAGAGAAATGGTCCAAGCTGATCAAACATGGTGGGCCAAGGGCGCCACGTGTCACGATCCTACGCGATCTTCCCAAAATACCCTTGATCCAACGGTCCTTGTTGGTCTTATCCAAATAATTGAGGGGCATTTGAGTCTTTAGGTCCAATAATGCAGCTGAAAACCCTTAATAATTATCCCAAAAATTCGGAATTGAAAACGGCCCAGGGGCAAAATGGTCATTTTTCCGGTCCCTGGTCGAAATTTCAATTTTCGCCCGTACCAACCCCAAATGTGTGTGGCCAACATAATATGGCGTCGGAATCGCGAAAATAGCTTCTTAAGCCCTCAAAAATCGACTGCAAATTCCTGGGGAATAAAATAATATTATTTTTCACTTCCGAGCCAAAATTCCAATTTTTTACCGAAATCACTCCAAATATGCGTGGCCACCCCAAAATGGCATCGGCCTCGAAAAATAACCTCATACGGCCTCAGAATCAACGTCGGTGACCAGAGGGGCAAAATCGTAATTTTTCCGGTCCCGAACCAAAATTCATTTTTTTGCAGAAATGGGTGGCCCCAAGGTTGGCCAAGCCAAAAACGTTATCGGCCGCTCAAAATTGTCACTTTCAAAATTCTCGATTCCCGGGCCCGAATTCCAAGAAATGACTAAAATCGAACAATCGCGACTTTAGCTTATCTCTTGCTAACAGGTGGCTCGTTGGGATTACGCGCTCTCGACCCGTGACCGACGCTAAGTCCAATCACGTTTAAGTTTACTCTACCCAGAACGACCTCGGTTGTCATATATTTGCGAGGGTCTGTCACTAGTGCCCTTCGGACACGATCAATCAATTAGATCGATCTCGGTTGGCTCAAAACATTCCCTCGTCAATCCATATGGTCGAAGATCGAACCCAGGTCGAGTTCTTTGGTCGTGCGAACTCAATCCCATACTGGCCTTACCCCTAAGGTTAGCATCCCGTGAATGCGCATTTCCGGGTGAGATCTCACTATAAGTGCATTGGCCAAACTCATTTCTTAAATCCCGGGAAAAGGATCGAAAATTCAGACTGTTACATTGCGTAGCCGCATAAACACCTTCCATGTTAGTGATTAGGTAATAAAATGGATCCAGACTGCCTGCATAAGTATTTTTTGAAAAGAAAAGGTACCGAAAGGGCGTTAGACTAGATCGAGCATAATCAAGTCCCCGAGCTTAGAATATCTGGTTCATAGGAATAAAACATATTTCCCTATGCTTTATTTAGGATTTTAATCGATCTACGCGACTCCAAGAATGAAATTTTTTGCATGTTAAAAATTTAAACCTTAAATCATGAATTGATAGGACTTTGGAGGGCCCGAATTAGATTTAGTCTTAATAATTCATTAGCCTGAAAAATTTAGATCCCGACGTACTTCAAAAACGTAATCTAGACTTAAAGGTGCAAGACGAGTGGGCACATCAATAAACAATGAGAAGTGCAAGTTGAAGAAATAAATGGACTGTGTTTTTAATATTGAGGCGAACTTGTTGGGAACAAGCCTAGTTTTGACTAGTCTCATTTCACACTCCTTTGAATTCTTTAGCACGACCACTTTAGGCCGACCCAAAAGATTTAGAATCACTTGGACTCACAGAATAAGGCAAAGCAAAGATGATGCCGCGTCAAAAGTGACCCGGCATTATTGATTAACGCGGGGCTAGCATTTCTAGAAAGATTAATACAACAACAAATCTCAAATTGATACACACATGATAAATTTATTTTAAATTAATTTTTTGACTACAAAAAATCTCAAATTTGTACATCTGTAATAAGTTTACCATAAACTAATTTTTTGATCATTAAAAAATCCAAACTACTATACTCACGATAAATTTACTTTCTGTTAACTTCAGTCAAATTTTATAACTAAATTGGCTTACGTGGATGACACATGGTGACGTGGTATGGTGACGTGACAAGTCCACGTGGAAATTCATAGGGTTAATACCACGATAAACCCCGATCTGGCTCAATCGATTTGTTACAGGTATACCGATTTGGGATTTTCGTGATATTAACCCTATGGATTTCCATGTGAAGTTGTCACATAATCATATCATGTCATCATGTGTCATCCAGGTTAGCAAATTTAACGATAAAATTTGACGAAAGCTAACTAAGGGTAAATTTGTCACAGGTGTACCAGTTTGGAGCTTTTTGTGATCAAAATATTAGTTTAGAATAAATTTATCATATGAATTTTCTGTGGTATTAGCCATTCGTAGGAACCCTAATCTTGATGGGTCATTTTTTTTTCCTCCTATTTCTTGTTTAAAATTGTTTCAGCGGGGGGTGCTATGATGCGTCCAAAATGACAAATCGCTGTTCCATTTGGCCGGCCGTCAAGGGTCAACTTTGACTAGCTTAGGGACCTACATGGGAGACTAACGACAGCCCAACATAACATAATCCCCAAAAAAGAAAAAAAAATCAATATGACCAGAGAATTCATTGCTTTCGAGCAGGACTCTTCCTTAATTTCCGTCTCAGTCATAATAGCAAACACATCCGGAGTCGCGTGAAAAGTCTAACGTTGGACCTTGTTTGTTTTCATTTCCAATTTTTCGCTACATTTCCATTCTCAAGTGTAAGAAAAAACCTCTCTTTCTAAGCACTCTCAAGGATTCCTCACCTCCTTCTAACTCTTCTTCTCTCCCCAACATGATTCCCCTCTAATACCAAACCTAATCCACTGAAAAGGGTAGCTGAAGGAAACTTGCTCTCTCGGACAGTTACTGGTCCTTGCTCACGCTTCTCGTTGATAATACCAACCCACAATCTCACTCCACTCAATCCACAACCATCTCTTGATCAACTTCTCTTCACTCGACACTGCGTCCAGGTCGGATCGATGTGCCCGATGATTCCAAAGACCACTCTGTCCATGCTCCTCCTCTTGGCCAGCATAGTCTTGCCGATCCTCACGGCTGCAGCGCATAAAGCCATCCACCCGCCCTGCAGCCAGACCTGCAGCTCTGGAATGCCCGCAAAGCAGAACCTGACGTACCCGTTTGGGTTCTCGCCAGGCTGCCCAATCCAGCTCAACTGCACCGAGGATGGGGACGCCCTCATCGGGGAGTTCCTTGTGCAGTCCGCGTCCCCGGACACCATCACCATCACCATCGAGGCCAACTGCAGCCGCCCGTTCGGGTCCATTGACCAGCTCTACGGCCGCAACTACGCCCCGGTGGGGAAGAACTCGGTCCTGCTCAGCAATTGCACGCAGACCTCCCCATGCGACGTGCCCAATACGCTGGTCATCCAGGCCCAGTTCCAGTCCCTCTGTGAGTCTAGCACCAAGATCAACACCAGCATGAATTGCTACTCCGAGAAGCCGAACCACTACAACGTGACGTTTCTCAACCACAGCAAGCTCTTCGCCCTTGGCTGCGAGTACTTTCTGTCGTCGATATCGGCGGAGGAGCTGAACAACGTGTCGGTGTCGCTGGGCGTCCAGATGTTACAGCTGTTCTGGTGGGTGAACGGCGACGAGTGTGAGTGCTCCCAGGATGCAGACTGTGTTCAGCTCTTGGGGCTGCCGAACGGCGGCGGAAATGGGTTCCGGTGCAAGTGCAGGGACAGGTTCCTCGGCGACGGGTTCTTGGCCGGAACCGGCTGCCGGAGAGGTTAGCTGGAGGTTTTTATTATTGTTGATTGTTTCGACCAATTATCCTCTGCGATCAAATTAAAAGTTGGTGCTAAGAATGCCAAGATGGTATACAATATTAATATGCGAACTCTTATGGCTGACCTTTAGTCGGCTAAGAATATGACCGTTTACTCAACTTCTAGTCTTAGTTTATCGATGTGTTACGTATGTTCATTTCGCGAAAAATGAGTAATTTAAAAAGTATATTTTGAAAAATAATTATTTATATCGTTTAGAAAAATTAGTCAATAAAAAATATTTTCATCATCGATAATAATTTATGCTTAACTATTTTCATAAATAATGAAAGAATTTTTCATTTATTTATTTTTCTAAATATTATAAAAGATCATTTTTTAAAATATTTTTTAAATTATTTATTTTTTGTGAAACAAACGCACTTAATTGCACATCCGAGAGTAGTTTTAGATGGCCCAAATTAGCTGCTGGCGCGGCAGCCACAATAGGTGTCGTTCACCGATTGGTGCTCCTCATTATTTTTCTGCAGACCTAATGACACCACATAATTCCACGCATCCCCTGTTTTTCCTTTACTCCCTCTCTGTCTCTTCATCTTTTTGGCCGCACTGCCACTGCATCGTCTCTCCCCTCTGTTACAAAATCGAGTCCCATCACAGTAGCTCGTCCCCGCCATCTCTTGCAGCGGCATATGTCGCCGCCGTCCACCAAACACCAAATGATGGAAAGCTCTCCCTTTTTGTTCCACAGTGAAATCGTCGCCAAAGTGGGAGAAAGAGGAGACGTTGAAAGTACTAACTATCGTGTTACCACTGATGGTTCTTTTCGTCGTGTCGACGCTGATCTTGAGTGTAGTTTACGTGATAAGAAGGAAAAGGAAATTCGCCGAGGTCCTCGAAGATTGGGAGAGGGACTACGGCCCACACCGGTTCAAGTACAAAGATCTTTACGTTGCGACGAAAGGATTCCGGGACCAAGAGTTATTAGGTGCCGGTGGGTTCGGCCGAGTCTATAGAGGAATCTTACCCACATCGAATATAGAGATTGCGGTGAAGAGGGTCTCCCATGAATCGAAACAAGGCATGAGAGAATTTGTAGCAGAGATCATCAGCATCGGTCTGCTCCAACACCGCAACTTAGTGTCGCTCCTCGGTTACAGCCGCCGGAAAAGGGAGTTGCTCTTGGTTTACGACTACATGCCCAATGGGAGCCTCGACAAGTACCTCTATAACCAACCAAAGGTCACCCTCAATTGGATGCAAAGATTTAGGGTGATCAAAGGAGTGGCATCTGGGCTGCTTTATCTGCATGAAGGGTGGGAGCAAGTGGTGATCCACAGGGATATAAAGGCGAGTAACATCATGCTAGACGCTGAATTAAACGGAAGACTCGGAGATTTTGGGCTCGCGAGATTACACGACCATGGAACCGACCCTCAAACGACTCACGTTGCGGGAACGCTCGGTTATCTCGCCCCCGAGCACATGCGAACCGGCAAGGCCACCAGGAGCACCGACGTGTTCGCGTTTGGAGCGTTTTTGCTCGAGGTCGCCTGCGGGAGAAGGCCGATAAAGCATGGGGACACGGAGGACGTGATATTAGTGGACTGGGTATTTTCTTGCTGGGACAGAGGTGACATTCTCGAGGTAAGTGATCCGAAATTGGGGGCGGAGTTCGTGGAAGGAGAGATGGAGCTGGTGCTGAAACTCGGGTTGATGTGCTCCCACTCCAATCCTTTGATGAGGCCAAGCATGCGTCAAGTATTGCAGTACTTGGAGGGCGATCTTCCGATGCCTGAACTGTCGTCCACGGGCGTTTCGTCCAGCGGGTTAACATTTGCTCATCGCGAAGGTTTCGACAATTTGGCCAGGTCCTTTCCGTCCTCCATGGGCAAGGCATTTACCCACTCGTCTTCTGTCGCAGAATCGCTTCTCTCAGGTGGGCGATGAGACTCCTGGTTTAGTATGTGTTTGTTTCATTGAAATAACTTCTAGCAAATTAGTTTTCTATATTTTCACGTGTGTGGTTTGTTTAAAATGATTAGTCAACAGAAAAATATTTACGATAAATGAAAACATGTACATTTAAAACTTGATAAATGAATACCCAATTCTGAATAAAGGGCAACCACTTTCAATATGTCATCAATCAAATGAAAACTAACCATTTTTGTGAGAATAATTTTCACGAAATAAAGTTTTTCGTGAAATAAACACACCCTGTATTCTTGTTTTCGATTTATTTCCAGCCTCTATATTTGGAAAACATTGATGTGTCCAAACTGTCGTTTTTCTGCTTTTGTATAAAGCATTAGCGGCAAGACGAGATAATGTACAGATCTAAAACCCATAGGCTCTGTGAGTCATTTTAGTACTAGTCAGTGTAAGTATCGCTAAATGCACGTTCTTATTTAAAAAGGGCTCAAATTAGCTACTGATCGAGGCTGCCGCTCTCCAGACGTCGTTCACCAGCGTTGTTTTTTATTATTCCTCTGTAGACCTAATCACACCCCATAATTTCACACATCACCAAAAAAAATTTCATTTTTCTTTCTCCTCCTATGTTTTTCCTTTACTCCCTCTCAGTTTCTTCATTCTTTTGGTGGAGAGAGAGAGAGAGTGTGTGTGTCTCACACCTCGAAAACAACAAGAAAGGAGATGGCACAGCTATCTTTCGACATGAAGGACGCAGTCTCAAACATAACTAAAAACATGTTATCAACATATATATCTCCAACCATTTATATATAAGATAAACCAATATGTTAGTTACAATATCAGAGTTTTTATAATCTACCAAAAAAAATGTACAACTATAATTCAGCCAACCCAACAAACTATAACTACCATCAACTCCCAAAAACCACACCCAAAATCTAGCTTCCAAAAGTCCCTGCGATAGCGCTCTTATACTAGCGATCGGTAGCTGAGGAACCCAAAAAACAAGAAAGACGAGTGGAATGAGCAATCACAGTCTAGTAAGTAGTACATATCTTCTAAACAGATCGAGCAATCACTATGCATGTATACAAAGCAATACCAAAGATTCATAACCCAAACTCGAGGTATAAAATACATATCGAATCACATATGAGTTATTTCATTTCAACAAAACTTTGTATAAGTCATAAATACTCATTTAATCACCATCACAATTCAAACGTTAATGGTCAAGTCCATTGATGAATTTCTATAAAAAAAAAACCACGTCAATGGTCCATTTCATTGATTAATTTATTGCTCAATTTTAAACAATGGTCATGACACAACTGATGGGTTATATCCTAAACAGAATCAAAACAATCACACAGATAATAGAAAAAATTGGCACACGAGTTTACCCAGGTTCACCTCAGAATAGGGCTACGTCCTGCAAAGGTATTCCACTATGATATTTAGGTTTTACAACCACAACCACTCGTTATAATGATCTCTTATATTAGTACAATTTATAGGACTTAAAATGGGCCCAAATCCCAAGCCCAAGCCCATCTGAATCCCTTTGATCCCACAACAAACGGGTTAGCAAACCCGATATTGTTTCGGGGGCAGCCCCCTTCCGCTCACCGGGGAGCGGAACCCCGCCCGCTGTCCGGGCAGCGGGACCCCCGACATTCCGTGCGTAGGGGTCACATGTCGTTAGTTCATACTTCGATTTTCCTATGCTCACATGAGCATGCCTGGTATGAGAAACAAGAGTCCTCAAAATATTCGCCAACTCCAACAACAACGTCTTGTGACAAGGCAATCAAGATTTCCCCTCTCGGCAAGGTCTTCGCCTACAAAACTGGTGGCTCGGCCCATAATGATATTTTATCACCAGTATGCATACTTAGAAACCCATACCCGAGTTCACAATCATATTGAACATCAAAACAATCATCCTCAAATATTAGAAATTCAATCTAGAATCAATCTCATAAACCATAACACATTTATAAACCAAAACAGATAACCTTTTCGTAACACATCTCATCCGCTATAAATACCTCTCTCAAAACATTTCTCATATCATGCAGAAATCATTTTATAAACCAGTTCGCAAAGCAATACATATATATATTTCTTCAAAACACCTTACACAACACGTTTTCTAAAACATTCATAAATAACCAAGGTATAGTAAATGTTCGATTCGGTTTTTTATGCGACTATAATGCCAATTTGTAACTCATACTATATATAATTCATATTGCTTTCAAAATATGAATTTACAAACTCGAACAAGAGATAACACCACTCATTTGGGAATACCCAAAACTAAACAACACGCAGCTAAACGAGCCGATGATCTCATAATCCTAACAATTAAATGAGAAATGACGTCAAAACCAGGTAAAATATTATACCAACTACGAATTGGCTAAATGACACTTAAGCGCTAACAAAATAACTCATATGTGTTAATAAATTGCATCCAAAGCAATTATTCAAGCTATTCGCAATGCGGTAATCGCACTCAAAACCCTAAAATTCTCTCTCCGATCAAACCGTTGCTTCTAAACGACTCCCGCCAAACCCCACGGCTCCACAACACCATAAACCACCATTTTCATGAAATTTTATAACTCAACAACTCAAAAATTGGACTTCACGGCTTGAATCTTACATAATTCCGAATTTAAGCCCGAACCCCGAAAACTACTCCGATTGAAAAAATGAAGAGCGCGAGCACTTATCAGACATTGCAAATCGGAATAAATCGGCTTGGTGAGGCATCCGTTCCGAGTATGCGCAACTCCTTTCCTTCCTTTCCCTTTCTTTTCTTTTCTCATACTTTTCCCTTTCTTGCGTGCGTCTCTTGGCCTCTTAAAACTGAAGACGTCCACTTTCCCTCCTTTTTTTCCTTTTTCTTTTTTTGTCTTTTTCTTGTGGGTCCCACCACTACTAACTTTTTGACCTGGTAAAAAAAGATGCAAATATTACAGTGTGTTGTGGGGGGCGGTGCTCATGGCCTCAAGTTGCAGATCAAGAAGCGAGGGGAAGAGGTGGAAGAAGAAACGACCGTATAGAGAGAAGAAGAAAGAGAAGACGGGTGATAGAGGATAGGATTTTCTAGGTGCATGTGGGTTATAATCAAAGTGTAGTGTAGGTGCATGTTTCCTTATTAGTTCAGTGATCGCATGATTTCTGATCTTTTACATATTCTCTTCGCGAGTCATGGACGCAAGGTACTTCGTGGCCCTTCAAATTTGACTGGCTTGAAGTAAGTGAACAATGAAATTCTCATGGAGCATTATGCATATGATGCACTTCCTCTCCGGAAAGCTGAATAGATAGATTAACGTAGCCTCAGAGTCAAGAATGTCATGTTGCAGAAGTTTCCGTGATTTTAAAATTCAAAAACCGAACTCGCGGTATACACTACTAAGAATCAGAAGATGAATGCACGTCTTGATTTAGGGTTCATTAAAGGACAAGGGTATGAAAGTTTCTCGATAAAATTTAGGGGTGGACACCGAGCGGGATGGTTTTGCCTTTAGAGGGTGATGGGCCCGTGGGCCTCCGCCCTAGAATGAATTGTTTCTCAAAAACAACTAATACCACGATGACTCTTTGACTCAAATAATCGACAACGTGACAACTCAAATTATTGACAATATAAACATCGACAACTCAAATAAAAAATCAAATACTTAGCTAGTAATTTGATTATTGCAAAAATATCATTTCTAGTTTTAGTTTCACCATCTCCACACTTTTCACACTTAAAACAATCCTCACCTCACAGAAAGAATAAAATACCCTCTAGGAAATCAATCAAGTACATCCTAGGCATGTAACAAGCTTATCGATCCAATTCAAGTGAACACAATGATTTCACATACCATCATTAGAACTTACCTACACTTGACAACAAAGTCAAACAAAAATTAACAATCATCAACCAATTAAGTCGAGAGTACTTAGTAGATGAATTTAACTTAGCTTCTAAAGTTTTCACTTACCTTGAATAAAATGCTTGAGCAAAATCAAAGCTTTAATTACCTTCAAAGTAAAATAATAAAAAACACGGATCAACAACTTTTAATATTCTTAAGCAACAAAACTAGTTTAATAAATGGAAATAAAGTCCACAAAATCACCTTGTAAACACTTGAAATATCAATTTTGAAACTTCGATCAACACAAGAGTGGAAGCGTAGCTTCTACTCGAAAGATTGGAGAGTGAAAATAGAAAAGAAAAGTGACGGGAGATCTATTTTCTTTATAAGAACAAGTTGAAGCTTTCTCGTAAAACTTGAGCACGTATAAAGGCTTGTTTGATCAGGAAGGGAATGTATATGGTAAACTATGCAAGAGTTACAAATAGATACGATTTATTAACTAAGGTTAAAAGAAATGATGACTTTTTTTTTTTTTTGGTCGGTAAATGATGACTTTGAGTTAAAAACACTTGGTGGAGGATGACTTGAGGGAGACGTGTTCAAGTTTTTAAAAAGCTACAAATGACACCATCACGTGATTTCAAAATAGATATTTTGATAAGTTACCAAGATATCTATAGTAGTACGTAAATAAGGATATCAATGTCCATTTTAAATACTAATAAATCACAAAAATATTTTGAACTAACTAAATTTATTAGTGAATAATATCGGATGCTAGAAATATCTCAATTTAGTAAATTTAAAACTTGAAAACTATCAAATAAGTAATTTGAAGCATATCGGTCCCCTTTCTACATCTAATATGGTGGTAAATCAATTATCATCACTCCACATTATCAACATGCATGTCAGCATCTATCAATTTAGGCTTGACGCATCGGCCTCCGGGCGATTATTGTCACGGAAGAATCATTCGTCGCACTTCCGAACCTCAGAAAATTAATGACCCACTTTGAGATTCCATATGAGCCATCCAAAACTCTAAGCTACTTGATTTTTTTTTTATCAACAAAAAATTTCAGATGTCACATTTGATCCACGGGACATAGATTCCTTGCGACATTTGACCAATGCCCATCCGTAATAAGTAGGGCTGTGGTGATAAGTGCCGTGAATAGTTTCGACTTC